ACAATTTTTTTAACTTATATTTTTATGTATTTTTCTATTATTAGTTCAATTAAAATAAAAAATAATTTTCTTTTGTCATTTTTTAATTCATTGTCCATAAAAAAATTTTTTTAATTCCAAGTCATGTGTCCACTATTTTATCATCGGTCGAAATTTTGCATAGAAACAATTAAGGGTACTGACATATTCGATGCTTATCAATTAACTCGTTTTACGAATTTGCCGCCTCTTTCTTGTACCTAGAAAGCTTCGGCGAACTTGCAGGCACACTTTCATGGTACAACTAACAACAAATAAAACATAGCCCTATTATAAAGCAATGTATGCTTTAGTAAAGCTCCTTATTTATTACTTTTACTTTTCTTGACTGATTAAATTTAGTCATACATTTACAAAATACTTTAACACAATGCAACAAAGTGATATGTGACAACGACATTGGTTAATAAATGTCAGCACTTTATATCTGGCCGAACAATCTTAACACCTTATGTTTATACAAACACTTAAAAAAACAAACCTTTTACGCTTAACAAAACCAAAAAATTAAACATTTGCTTTCTACCAAAGCAAACAACCAAAACTGAATTACAAAACCTCAGAGTTCTACAGTACCTTAGCAAAAGTTTTGGACACCCCAAATACATTAATTATGCAAAAACGTACATGATAAAAATATAAATAATTTTTATCAAATCGTAATAAAGTTTTCAAGAATATGTATGCAAAATTTCGTATTTTTGTAATGTCTAGAAGAAAAACAGTTAAAAAAAAAAACAAAAGGTTCGGCCAAAAATCTTCTGAAAATTATAGTTTTCCCAAAAAAAAATTTTTTTTCTCAAAAACTTACGTCTAAGATCTTGATATATGAAAGATTAGATACTGATAAATTACATCAAAAATTACATCATATATTTTTTATACAAGTTTTTTGGTTTATTTTAAAAAATTGTTTTGAAGTTTTTGAAATTTTTGCTAAAATTAAATTTAACAGAATCAGACAGATAATTGGACTTTACAAAGGCAGTAGTACTATTTCATATATTTCTAAAACACTTAAATTCGCAAGTACAACTGTGACCAGAATAATTAAAAACTTCCAGGAGAGAGATGGTGTTAAAGAGTTATCAAAAAGTGGACGCCTTAAACATTTGAATGTTGACCATAAGAATGAGTTGAAGAAAATTGTTAAAAAAGAAAATCGTAAATCTGTTGAGCAAATAAAAGACCAATTTAATGAAAATACAGGTTTGCAGGCAAATAAGTAAAATTTCAGGTGTGGTTATTGTGTGTGTTTTTGAGAAGTGGTATAAATAAATAAATAAATAAATTTTTTTGGGCAAACTATAATTTTTAGATTTTTGGTCGAACTTTTTGTTTTATTTTAACTGTTTTTCTTCTAGACATTACAAAAATACAAAAATACGAAATTTCGCATACATATTCTTGAAAACTTTATTACGATTTGATAAAAATTATTTATATTTTTATTATGTACATTTTTGCATAAATGATGTATCCGAAACTTTTGCTAAGAGTATAGGGCTTTATTCGAATAAGGTTTATTCGAATTATTCATTATGAATTTGAGTATTCGAATTACATTGAAAGTTTATTTGAATGAAACAAAATAATTTGAATAAGAATTTGCATTATGAATAGAACTCTAGTTCTATACCATTTCTGATAACCAAATAAACAATTAAGCCCTACTGTTTAATTTCCACAAAGGTGTTTTCATTAAAAGAATTAATTTGTAAAAATATTTGCTACAGAAATGAATTAATAACAATTTTCTGCCTCTACTCTTATGAACAAGGCTCTGAAATGTTAATTACAGTCAAAGCTCCCGAGAATTTTGGTTCGCGTTCACTATAAAGAATTGTCGATCATCTCATTTCTGGTCACGTGAACATATTATGAATAATTTATTGGCCACGAGTCATTAAATTTCGCATTCATTCATAAAATAAAAACGATCCTTTTTGAAAATAAAATATAAAAACTAAGTTTTATTCATATAATTATCAGTTTTTAATTGTTCTTTTGAATTAAATATATTTTTGACTTTTCTTTTATTAATCTCAATTCATTATCAGTTAATTGTGACTTGTCTGTTTGTTGTTCAAAGTATAATTTTGATTTTTTTCTATTGACAACAAAGCATTTTTATGTAATACAGGTGAAGAAGAAAGAATTATTTCAGGCATATTATTATTAGTATCAACAATAACAAATAATAATAGTAAAAAGAAGAAGAAGAATAAATTTTCTAATTTTTCAATAATAAATAAGTTTATGTTACGCGGGTTCGTTATAGAGAGCATTATTTATTATATAAATTTGTATTTGGTTCCTCCAAAGACAGTTCATTATACAGAATAGAGAATTTAACTATAAAGTTCGTTATATAGAGCAAATTTCATTAATAAAAAATCGGGACTAAAATCTTAGTTCGTTATAGAGAGCAGTTCGCTTCTCGGAGGTTCGTTATAGGGAGCTTTGACTGTAATTAGTTAAGTAGTTGCTAGCTAATAGTAGATAGTTCATAGTCCATGGTCATTAGTAATTTTCCTCTTGGTCAAAAAAGCTATGATGATTTTTATGTAAATAAATTTTTTTATTGTTTATAGAACCATTTTATTGAATCTGATCATATTGCGAACATGTGACCCAATATTTCCTATCCTTACATTATTACGACCTAATTATGACATTAAGACATGATTATGACATTACATTACGTATAGCATGTCAAAAGTCATAATAGTTTAGGCTGCATGTATAGTGCCAACTATATTTGCAGCAGCCGTAATTATTTTATAATGGTAACTAACCTATGGTAGTTACTATTGCTGCAATAACCAATTACGGCTGGTGTCTTTAAGTGCAAGCCATTTAGTCGTTGAACTTTCTACACCATAACACTATTTTTCGGTCATACAGTCAGTGTATTACATAAAAATTGGACAGTAATTGTTGGCGGAATTTTTCGTTTAAAGATGACTTTAATGATTAAAGAATTGTTACATAGCCATAAAAAATTGTTATTATTGTTACAGATTTTCAAATGTGTCAATTCTTCATTTTTTAATGTAAAAAAAATTGTGTGACAGCCAATTTTGGGGTTAACATAGTAAACTTTGAGGCTTAATTGGTTTTTTACATTCAATTTTGGAAAATTAAAGCAAATAAAAAGTTCTGCGACTAAGAGTCTTCACTGTCTGTATGTATACATAATAATAAATTGTGAATTGCCTAAAATGGTCACGTAAAAAAATGTTAATCAATAAATTTATGATGCAGTTTTTATTCTTCCTCGCTGAAAAAAATGAGAAAAAAAAATTTACTGGAAAAATTTCTTGTGTTAGATACAATTCCACCAACACTAAATTGAATTATAAAATAAATAAGTAGAATCGTTAATATTAAGAAGAAAGGAGGAGGATGATGAATAAGAAGGAGTAAAAAAGGGAAAATAAAAAATTCAAAATTACTTGATATGTATAAATCATATGATTTACACATTATCTAGCATATTACGTTAATTGGGAATAGTAATTGTAATCTTAATATTATTATTATTATTATTATTGACAATACTACCGTAAAGTTCGGAAAGATAGTACCCTAAAAGTTATGACCCCTATTTTAAAAGGGGGTGCTATCTTTCCTATATAGATTTTATGATGATAATTAATCCAGACTAATCCAAAAATATTAATTCACGTGAGTTAATTTGAAAAGCTTAAAAAAATTTTTTTTCACTTCACTCGTTCATTCTTTCTTTCTTTTTTATCTCATCAAAAAAATTCTTTTTTCTTTACAATAAAAAAAAGGGGAATTTTATTATTTTACTGGGCTTATATTTATCTATTTATTTATTATTATTATTTATCTATTTATCTCGTTGGACGTTACACGAACATTATCTAAAAAATTTTCATGTATAAATACATTCATCATCCTTTTTTAACATTCCATTCTCTTTACATATTTATTTTTAATATGAGTACCTCTAAAAATTTAATATTAAAATAAAAGTATTTTTATATTATAAAAAAATAGTAAAATCATCTTCAAAAAAAATTTTTTTTTTCTTCATACGCAAACAAAAAGAGAACATTAACATTTAATTAATTAATTAATTTAGTTTTAATTTATTCAAAATTTCTTTAGTTTACATTTCGCAAATTTTTTTCGCTAATTATTTAGCGTTTTCCCTCACTTGTCCAATGCATAAGTGGGCCTCTGCATTCATAACTAAATATTCTCGTCCTGCTACTACAAACCGTACTCTTGCATTGTACCATATCGAAAGCCCGACTTTCATCTGAAAAAATTCAAACCCTTTTTAAATCTTTGGCTAGCTCTTGACAAAGTAAAACATACAGAGCCAAACATAAAATTTTATTTTTTTATTTTTCTCTTTCTCTTCCATTAAAAAAAAATCATCAATTTCACAATAAACCGCTTCAACTAACAAAAATCACTATTCTCGTCAATAAATATTACCTTTTTTTTTTTAATTAGTTTTCAAAAAAAAAAACACCAAAACAAGCCCGAAATTTATACTCTTTCTATCTTAAGGAACAGTATACTAAAGAAAAAATTTAAAAATTTTTTTTTCATATATTATTATTATTATTATCATAATATATAATTTTCTTAAACTTTATATATTTAAATTATCTAATTATTTAATAATAATTTATCATCACATCTCCATTCAACGATGCATCACCAATCTTCTTCTCAACAACAACAACTTCTCGGTCAACTTGATGAACAACAAAAAATTTTCCAATTTTCTCAAAAATTACCATCTTTAACCGGAAAAAATTCAAACCCTCCTTCATTTTCATCCCGTAAATCTGAAAATAATGGTGTTTCTGCCACAGCTTGTACTAATTGTGGTACTACTACTACTCCTTTATGGAGGAGAGCTCCTAGTGGTGAGACAATCTGTAATGCTTGTGGTAAATATTCCTACCACGTTTTTTTCTCTTCATCAATTCATTTAATATTTATTAATTTGATAATTAAAAAAATATAGGTCTTTATTTAAAAGCTCGTAATACTGTTCGTCCTCCTTGGCTAAAACGTAATGCTATTAAAAAAGTGTCTATTACAATTAACGAATCATCACCATCTACTGATATTTCTAACAATAATGACAATGATAATGACAGTGACATTAATACCAGCTCTAACAGCAATAGTGGCAGTAATATCAACAATAGCAACAATAATTCTAACTTTAATAATAATAATGGTGGTGATAGTGGTAGTGGCACCTGCCCTGGTGATGGTCATTGTGATGGAACAGGTGGAAAAAGTTCTTGTGATGGTTGTCCTGCTTTTAATCAACATCAGGTTAATCGTCAAGCCTTAACTTGTGCTAATTGTGGTACTAATACCACTCCTCTATGGAGAAGAGATGAAACTGGCAACACGATCTGTAATGCATGTGGCCTTTACTTCAAACTTCACAATGTTCCTCGTCCCCCAACTATGAAAAGATCTGTCATCAAACGTCGAAAACGTATTCCTTTACCTACATCTTCTCAACAAAAAAATGATCTAACTGATAATGATGATAATAATGATGATGATGATGAAAGGAAAGTTCTTCTTCATATTCATAAATCTTGCATTGCGCAAAATAACAATGGTAGGAACAACAATCTTAATCTTAATGCCAACATCATTAACTCACCTCCTACACCTCCCACAACTTTATCTGATTACAACTCTTCTGAAGATGATAATTCTTCTCTTGATGATGATGGTTTACTCAAAAAAAATAATACCTTCACTAATAATAATGTTCATAAAAGAAAAGTTGCTGATCTTATTAACTCTAATAAACGGCATTGTAACAGCAAGAGAGTTCCTCCTATTGAAGATTATATTATTTTTCCTGGACGACAACAACAACACCATAATCTCCAATCTGATCTTGTTTGGAATAATAATTACGGTAATGAAAGTAGAAGAAGCAGCCTAACTTTTGAAGCTCAAGTTCATATTTATCCAAATAACTCTGGTAGTGGTAGTACTAGTAATAATCATCTCATCGAAACCCCTTGTTTTCCTTTACCTCCAGTCTATTCTAATAATCATTATAGAAGTAACAACAATAACAATGACTCTTCTACTCAAAAC